ACCAGCAGGCAACTGAAAAACCCTCAATCTACCCAAATTCACAGGTTGTTCACAGTGCATCAGGCGGTCAGAAGCGAACTATCAGGGCAGTATGTTGTGGTGTTGACTATGGCGATTCATCACATAGTGGAGTACCTTATTATTAAAACCAACTACACATATATTACTCTGAATCAAACTTGACACAAGAATTCAACATGTAAATACCCATTTCTAATAGCGCCCTACACACACGGATAGCAGTTAAGACAATGTGGAAAAGAAGCTCTATCGAAAACTACATGACTTCTGATGAAGAATGAAATACGACGCTTATTACATTAGCAGTACACTTTCAACAAAACAGGCAGAGGTAGATAGAGAACCTGATCCAATAAACGCTTATAGTACCTGTGATTTTCCGTAGATATTACCAAGATATTATCTTTCTCGATACAACTACAACATATAAAAGGTAAATTCGAAAATTTGGCATGTTTTTGACCTGAGGTACGATAAGTAAATTCAATTACGAATATTTCTCCTGATTACGCACTTATGTGGCCGCGATATATGAATTCCACTATAAATTATCACTCTGTCATCATCTTATTTCAATCCCATAAACGCCGCGGTATGCCTGTGTAGGTGGGACGATCTCAGTCATCCGCTTAGAATAGTCCCATACGGTCATGTGCTCATAACCTTCAGCAGGTAATTTCTATTCACTATCTTGACGTGAATGGAGACGTTTCTATAAAAGTTAAAGGTCGGTGGTATCTTTGAGATATTTTCTGCAGAAGATACACATTGAGAAGTTACAAAACCCTGATACTCAACTAGCAATGAACATGGTCTACACGGTCCAGAAAGGAGAATCGATGAATGAACATACCCTGGTAACCCGCAACCCTAGGAACGCAGAAATGCAATCTCCTCTACAACTTTGTGGATCGGTCATCAATTCACAGCCTCAAAAAGTGGTCCTATATCTAAGGATCCACGCAATACCACATATCATATTCAAATTATGAATCATCCTCAAAAAGGAACGCACATAAAACACTTACCAAGACTTTCAGTGATGAACTGTCTACTCAATTAATCAATTTCGTATCGCTACACCACCTCTAACCTCACCTCACTAACTACATCATTGGTCACTAGCCGATCCTAAGACCTGGTAAAGAGGGTAGGTTGGGCATACGGCTACCAACCCTACCCCCGAAAATCAATACACTCTCTAAAGAAACTTCAAAACACAAGGGAAATATAAAAAATAAAAACAAACTTATTCCTCGCACGAATCGGAGAGACGAAATGACGCCGGTTGGTGAAAGCCTTCGGGAAGCCAATTGGCCGATGTGTCTTCTCTCACTCAATGAAAACAAAAGAAAACATGGGGACATGGAATGTCCGCACCATATATGCACCATGTATGAACCTAGCAAGGTTGCTCAAACTCCAAAAGAGATGTGAAGGTATAGCATAGAAGTGCTAGGAATCTGAGAAACCAGATGGAATGCAAGCGGTCTCTCCAAACTGTCAACTGGAGAGTCAATAATCTACTCCGATATCGTCACCCAGACGACAACCATGAGCGCACTCAGTTATAAAGTGGTTATCATGCTTTCCCCAAGAACATCGAAGGCTCTCACTCTCGCATGCAGTGGGAACCAATCTCCTCCACAATCAGGATCATGACAGTAAGGTTCAACTCAAAAGAAAGCAGAGTCACAATCATTCAATGCTACAATACGCAACTACAAATAATGCAGATCAAGAGAAGAAGGAGGAATTCTATAGACAACTGCAATCAGTACTAGACAAGACCCCAACCCAGATGGCGACATCAAAATTCTAATGAGCGACATCAATGCCAAACTCGGAGCGGACAACACCGGAAGATAACTAACTCATCATGGGTCGAGAAACACTCGGTGAAATGAACGAGAATGGAAAACTGTTTACAGACTTCTGCGCATTCAACAATTTAGTGATTGGAGGCAGTGTGTACAAACACAAGGATATTCACAAAGCAACATGGATTTGACTTCACCAACCAGATGGACACACCAAAAATCAGATCGACTTTATCTCAATCTCAAGAAAGTGGAGACGCAGCATACTGGACACAAGATCAGATCAAGTAGAGGAGCAGATGTAGGTTCACACCACTCACTATCTAGTGCAAACAACCTACCTTCAAAATCAAGTTGAAAGCCTTCAAAGAAGCTGATGATAATAAACCACAGTTCGAGTTCAACACTCGGAACAGAAACTCAACTGAAGAACGAAACTATAAGGGACATCTTCACGTCAGTCAGCCATCAGGAAACAATGGGAGACAGTAAGCAACATCCCTGAATAAACCTGTGTGGAAGAACACTGAAACTCTTAAAAAGAGATGTGGAAAAAAACCTGCATAACCGTGGTAGGAAGGAAGAAGAGGAGACAAGACAAGGAATGGATCTCCACGGATACATGAAAGCTGATAGAGCAGGGAGAGGAAGATGGTGAAGCAGAAGATAAACCAGCGAAAGGATGAACAACGAAAAGAGGAACTGAACACAACGTACAAAACACGGCACTGGACAAAGAAGTGAAGAAGAGTGCGCACAAAGACAAAAGACACTCCTACGACATATTGCCAAGTGAAGCAGAACAGGCTGCAGGTAGGAGAGATCTGACAACACCATATCAAATAATCAGGTTACTATCCGGGAAGAGATCAACACAGACGAAACCAATGGAAGATAGTGAAGGAAACCTAGTTACCAAAGAGGAGAAACAAAAAACACTTGAATCGACCACCATCACCACCACCTGCATCTCGTCCAGAAGTACCACCAGCAGCCACAGAATTATCAGTGGACACAAACCCCCCGACATAAGCAGGAGTGAAGTCATGAACTCCATAAAGCTGCTGAAGTCCGAGAAAGCAGCAGGAAAAGATGGAATCTCACCAGAAGCACTGGAAACAGACGCAGAGACAACAACGTCACACCACTACTGCAGAAGATTTGGAAGGAAGGAAAGGCACCTGCAGATTGGAAGAAGGGCTACCTTGTCAAAATCCCAAACGAGGGAGACCTAAGTCTTTGCAAGAACTGGCACGGAATCATGCTCCTGCCCCTGTCCATCCCAGGCAAAATATAAGGCCGCATCATCCTGGAGAGACTAAAAGATGCGCTGGATTCAAAATTACGACAGAAACAGGCTGGCTGGATTCAGGAGAAAAAAGGCACGTGCGGATCAATTTATTTTGCAACACTACGCTACGCATCATCATAGAACAGACCATAGAATGACAGTCAACTCTTCAACTTACCTCAACTTCATCGACTCTGAAAAGGCCTTCAATAGCGTCGACCAACAAGTAATTTGGCAGGCAGCTGCTTCAACACTACGGTTTTAGCGCCACAAACCTTCATCAACCTCATTCAACAGCAGCTACATGCTATATGAGGACGCCACATGCCGAGTGATTCACAATGGAAAGCTCAGTGATGCTTTTGAAGTGAAGACAGAGGACAGGAGTAAGGCAAGGTTGCCTCCTACCATCACCGATTATCTTCCTGATTGTGGTCGACTGGACTGGATCATCCGATAAACCGTGAGGAGCGAGAAAAGAGGCATACGCTGGCTGGACCTATAAAAAGACCCCAGGAGAAGATTCAGATTTCACCAATGTTGATTTATGTCTAATGTCGCACAAACTCGAAGATCTACAGGCAAAAACTAACAAGTTGACAGAAGAGGCAAAGTACCGAAGACGGGACTTCAAGTGAACGTAGAGAAGACAGAGGTGATGAAAATATCCAACCACCATCACCACCACCACCAACAACAACAACAAACACCAATCACCATTAACGGGAGAAACCTAAAGGAAGTAGTCTCTTTCACCTACCTAGCAGGGCAGCATCGCTTCAACTACAGGTGGCGGCACAGATGAGGATGTCAAAGCCAGGATCGGAAAGACAGCAAGACAGGCTTTCACTAATCTGAAAACAGTGCGGAGATCTACTGTACTCAGCACAAAGAACAAGATCCGGATTTTCAACACCAATGTCAAGTCACTGCTGCCATATGGTTCAGAAACTTGGCGTGTCACGAAAAACATTCCCAACAAACTACAGACATTCATCAACAGCTGCTCCCTCCCTCACTCGATACTGAGGATCAGATGGCCAGAAAGAGTAAGCAACAAGGAACTCTGGCCGAACAACGAACCAACCAACAACCCATCGCCCAACAAATATGCAGAAGAAAGCGGAGATGGATTGGACTGTGCATACACTGAGAAAACTATTCGGAGACATCACACGCCAAGTCCTCGAGTGGGAGCGAAATCGGAAATAACGAGTTGGGCGTCCGAGGCGGGGCGATATGGAGGAGATCATGTGAGGAAGAAATGAAAGCTTCTGGGCAGTCGTATCGCCAGGTTCAAAAGACAGCAGAGAACAGAGTGCAATGGAGGCGTGCTACTGAAGCCCTCTGTTCCACCAGGAACCCAAGGGACACAATAATATAATAAACACTACACGTTTTACAATTCTTCCAGACAACTTTATGCATTATGACCATCAAATAAATAGTAAACATCTTTCAAGTTGTGTTTATTGCTCGCTTATTGAAGGAATCCCCACTCACATCTAGAAGGCACAGTGGAAGTTTACGACTACCTGGTTCGACTGTTACGCGTTTCACATGCAGTTTAGTGGATGCGTAAGGTGAGTTTTCCGACCTCATCATTTCCCTTTAGTTGTTTCATGAATGGAATCTTAAAGACAGTTGCAAAAGGATCAAGACAGAGAAATGCCAAAGAATTACCCATCATACAGGGATGACATAACACATGTTATCAAACAGACTGCTTTCACACTTCGTAGTAAATTGTCGGGAATGCATACTAGCATAAACTTATCATAAACGTTCGTCTCCTTCAAAATATGGTGAATTATTGTTCAATTTATACATCTGCAGTACAAACATATCCCATCAAGTCTTCAACTTACTTCCCATTGCTCAGAAGTGGTACCTTCATAAGTCCCTGTATATTCAACTCCATCATCCCACAAGACCTTGACAAGTGAACCTTTCTCAGGTAGTCCGTCTTTGAGCCAATTAATATTCTAAAAATAGAGAAATAAAATAACACGCAAACAGAAGTGCATGATTTTAAATATCAACTGATATTGGGAGGAGCTGTTGACCACTCGTTTAAACGGCCGACTTTCAAACATTATGTCACTGGTCCAAACCTCGCTCGATCTATCGAGATTCGGGTAGGTAGTTGGTATCAATCATCACGGCTTAGAGCATGAACAAACATGCGACTGGTCAGAAAGAGAGCGAAAGAGGTAATGATGAACAGTTAATTCGCTCAAATTATTACCACAACTAAAACGCTACCAATATTTGCTTAAACTAATTACAAATAAGCTCATAATATAGAAAAGCAAAAGATTACATATTTGTAAGCTCGGATTTAATTTTATAGCTGGAAAACAGTTTGTAAAACTTGGTACACTAAAGATGAAGACATTATAAGAATGTTTACAACATAAAGTCTTACCAAGATATCAATCATTTGGCAAGTAGATAACACTACCAAATTACTATGGCTCAACACCAGTCTAATGTTTCGCCTTTACTTTTGTCATATGCATCTATTGGGTGTTCAAAGTTGAAGTTAGGTGCAGAGTTTTGGACTAGATATGTAAATAGATCAATGGAATTATCAAGTCGCTTTGACTAAATTAACCATAAAATGTTAAGATATTGCTTACCTACATATGCGACAATTTTGGAGAGGAATTGAATGAGAAAATCGCGAATAATGAACAAGTCAGGAGATGGCGACAATTCATGAAGTCATTAACTGTTAGTGTGGATTAGGTATGGAAATGTACGGTTTCTCGTTGCAGTCCTTCAAATGTCAAAAACAGCAAATGAAGGCTACATAATATGATATAGTTGTAGCTCACTGATCTAGACACTGGAATTTCAACTACTGAGTAATGGATTCAAACTCCACTCCACCTACTGAGGTTTTGACAGACACAATGGATCCGGTTCATGGTCTACCGCGCGAACGTGCACGTGGTTGCTGAGTGCATTTCAAGTTTTGCAACGTAACATACTTCAGAAAAGATCGTGAAAAAGCATCTCATATTACTCTTCCTTCGCTTGTTGAAATTTACAACCAGCTACTTTATGACCGACTGGATAGTTTGTTGTGCTTGTGGACTTTATTTTCGTGTCACTTCAAAGTATGATAGCTTGTAGTCCTGCACTTTTGAGAAATTTCCTGAGTCATCTATCTGTCTAACTCTATTACCTATTACAAAATCATATATTCGCATCAGTCACTAAAAGTAATTTGTTATATAAGCACCAAGAGTATGAACCGATAAAGATTAGCATATGAATAAATAGAAGGTACTTACTGTCAAATATTCTGGTGGTGTGTCTGATGAGAATGTTCCATCAGAAAAGATATTCGACAGTATAAGGGAGTAACTCTTCGAATAGCGATAGCAGAAGTAAATTTAAGATCATTTATCTCTTGCACCATGACCTCATCCCCTGGAGAAACAGAACCCTGGTCGTGGAAATTTGGCTATTTTGTGTAAACAAATAAAATGTACCAGACTATTACCAGCATTAATGATAGCATTAATAATAAAAATAATAATAATAGCCTCATTAAAAACGATATATTTGGATTAACTATCCGACTTTCAACATAGTGTTGTTATAAGTATTTCTGAACTGTAAAACAGGAAATCAAAGACTTAATATAAAATTAACAATGACTTGTAAACAGCCACAAACGTTAATATAAGAGTAAACCTTGAACACTGTGGTCGATTGTAATTCCATTTTAGTCTGTTTATCAGAAATATCACACAGTGAAACAGTAACATTTACTGGATAACGTTTCGGACACAATTTACTGTCTATATTCATATCAGGTAACTCCACAAATTCGAGACAGTCTTTATAGATTCCTAGTTTCCTCTCCTTCTCTGTGATGACAAGGGTAGTAGAATTTTCCATATATCTGGACAGGTGCAGCATCATTTCGATTGCATGTGTTTTGGTGTTGATTCGATAAGCAAAGATTCGGTGATCGATCTCTCCCTCCACCCAACTAAGTTAGTTTTCAACACTGTCACCCTATCTCACCCTACTGTGTGATTGTGTGTCATCGCATGCAGAGCTATAGCCGAGTTTTTCTCTAGATTTCTTATCTTATTAGGATCTACTGATCTTGATTTAGCTAAGTTTTTGGTGCTTTGTTATTCTAATCGACCCTGGTCGACTGCTTTGACCTATGTACTTGACCTCGCAATCATTGCAAGGAATCTGGCAAACCAGATTATTTTGCTTAATTGCATCGATAGGATCTTTTCACCTACAAAGCGTGTTTCTAAGTGAGTTTGTTGGTTTGAATGCCACTTTAATCCCAGCCTTATTGAGAATTCTTCGTAATGCTTCTGAGGTGCCTTCCTTGTATGGTAACACAGCAGAGGCTTTGAATTCCCTCTTAACCCTGTCGCCATTATTACCATTAGTGGTGGGATTATTATTAAAACACCTGTATTATTACCATACCACTGCCAATATTTTTCTTTCGATTTCTTATGAATTTATTTGTAAGTTTTAGTGGGTAATTATTGATACGAAAGGTATTTTTAATATGTCTAATTTATTGTCGTAGATTTCTCGTCCATTAGTAAGCTTTTTCGCACTTCACTTAGACACTTAACTAAGCCACGGATTCGAAGTCTAAGTAGCGACTAGAATGGGTAGGTTCCCTATAGACACTAGTCGCTAAAATTACGTCTTGTGTTCGCTTAATCTTGCAATCCGACATTGCTAGCTCACCCTCTTCACTTTCTAAGTCACACGTAAATTGGATTGCATTCATTACTGAATTTATATATCCCAAGAACCTATCGATGTGTTACGATTTCAGTACTGTGAACGTATCATCTACACATCGGAACCATATCTTTAGAGTAGGACTGAATGTTTGAAGGTCTATCTGTTCCCAACTACCCATAAATATGTCTGCGACGATATGGGATACTGGTGATCCCATGGCAACACTTTCAGTTTGTTTATATATTTTATTTCGAAACCTAAAAATTGTAGATGTTAGGCACAATCGTACTCCAAGTATGATTTCCTCGATCCGTACCTTAGTTCGATGCCCAAGTTCTTTGTCATCCTTAAGCCCATTTCTAACTGCTTCTAGAGCCATGTCGATCGGTGCATTTGCGGAAAGGCTAGTTATGTCAAAACTAAGTCTTTTATTTCACTGTCATCCATGTGTATGTCGTCTAATGTGTGCTTTAAGACATAGAACTTGGTAAGTTGAGGTTTTGGGTGATTTCTTATTGGGTCTAACAACATTGCTAAACATTTAGACAGCTTGTAAAATTGCGTACCAGTTTCATATCAAAACATTGTACATTATGTTGAATGCATACTAAATTATACGTAGTTTTGAGAATAATTCCTTATAAATGGATGTCTCCACTCTCATTTAAAGACAAAGAAACTATGAATACGAAAACCCCAGCATCTTGTAAGTTAACAGTAGGATTTCAAAAATTAAAAAATCCTCTAGCATGGTTAAAAGTATATATCTTTCAACCACAAAAAATAGTGGCTAAATTACTTAGAAATTAATAAAGTTGATATTAAAATAAAAATTATTTCAGATACTACAGTTAAAATTGTGGTTGTGAGTCAGAACAGTAACATAAAAGGATGCAACTTATTGTCACTTCAATGTTCTAATTCCGGTTGTATTGTTGGAGTAAACTGTCATGCCAATATTCCAGGCATAATGACTAAAAGACACTTATCTACACAAAAGCCAAAGAAGGACAAGAAGAATGATGCAAACAACGTTGTGGCTTATGCATCCCACTGTAAGAAAACACAACGGATAGGAGTTTATTGATACTTCTCGTCTAGTGACAAAATTAATATGGGTCCTCAAACACACACAATCCAATTGTAGCTACTATTCATCGGACGATGGAGAATATGAAAAATTGATTCTATAATTGCGAACAACGCAAGCAAATTCCACCTTGAGACAAATTTTATCTTCAGAACCCTTCTGTACTGGTAGAGTGCAACATCTCCGCCAGGGGACTCACTTCGCTCCGAATACGTTAGTGATTGATGAAGTTAAATTCAGCCTCATAGCACTACGCCAACTGATATGTCAGTGACAAACGTGAATACCGACAGTTTGCTATTCTGCTTTGTTATGAATGGAATATCTCGATAAATTCTGTGAAGTTCAAACAGTTTCTCAAGATTTGAATGACTTCAGCAGCTCTTCATAAGAGTGAATATCTATTATCGTCTGTTATCCACCTAATCAGTACCTTCTAATCTTCCTTCACGTCTCTTAATTAACGATGCTACATCATCTTCAATTTCTCCTAGCTCTGCAGCCTTTGACAACGATCTCAGTCCACAGAACAACATCCCTGGTCTCCTTAAACCACGCTCCAAATTACGTATCTGGGCCTTCAATGTCCGCACCCTTCGTCAAGTTGGTCAACAGGCTTCATTGTCAAAGACTCTAGCAACTCGGGTCATGGATGTGTGCTGTGTTTGTGAGACAAGCATACAGGACCCAAGTGCGGTTGTTCACCTAACATCTCCCGGCCAATCTGGTGAGTCCGCGAAATTCACACTTCGAGTTTCTGGAGATTCGATGCTTAGCTCTCGCGGTCTTGCAGATGTAGGCATAGCATTAAGCACTAGGGCAGAAAGCTAACTACTAGACTGGATCCCAGTTGATAGTCAACTCTGCGCTGTCCGGCTGAATAGCACAGTGAGAACTAAAAGGAATAGTGAAATTCGCCCTTGTCTCTTTGTATTCTCTGCTTACGTATCCACTGACTCCGGTTTGGATGAAGTGAAGGACAAGTCCTACAGAAAACTGTCCAGCCTCCTCTCGAAAGCTAAACGTTCAGATGTAGTGGTTGTTGCTGGTGGTTTCAGGTGGCACTTTCGGAGTCCCGACTGAACGTACACATAACGGTGATCGCCTACTACAACTGTGCTCAGATAACCGCTTATTTTCAGCTAGCACAAATTCCAGACATAAAGAAAGACACTGTCTGATGTGGCGTCCACCGAGCTCAACTCAGCGATGGACACAGATAGATCACATTGCCATTAGTCATCGCTGGAGAGGATCGGTGGAAGACTGTCTCTCCTTCTGGAGTACAACACGCTTGCATAGCGACCACGCGTTGGCCCGAGCACCTATATGCCTGTGTCTCAATGGACGTAGGGAAAAATTGGCAACAAAACCATTACGACTGCAGCTCGACAACGAAAACATCAAAGCCGCTTTCGGTGAGAAGTTGGCTAGGCAGTTATAGGAACAGAACACTATCACTCATCCAGAAGAAGCTTCATGCTATCTCGAGTCTGGTGAGAAAGCAGAGTTGAAGACCGTAGCCAACTCCGAAAGAGTGACTAAAAAGTGCCAGTGGATATCAGTAGCATCTTCCGAACTAATGGATGCACGTCAATGCATCTCTGGTTGCAGGCTCTGAGTACAATGAAGAGCGAGTGCAACTAAAAAGTAGATTGAAAAAAAGTCTATGCGACGACCGCGAACAATGGTGGGCTAAAGAGATGGAATAGGCAGTGGTGATTGGTAACAGTAAACAGTTATTTAGACTTATCAAGGAAACTAGGGGGAAAAGGTCAACAACGGTTAGTGAGGCTACCGCGGAGAAGGACGGATCTGCGATTCACTAGCAGGGGAAACGACTGGAACGATGGTAAGAACACTTCGAGGAACAGTTTAACTGGTCTCCAGTTACCACTGCGTTGCCCGCCATCCAGTCGTATCCTGAATGGAACATTGAGATAGGCCCCGAACACTTGCAGAAGTCGAGAAAGCGATAGGTAACTTGAAACGAGTAAAGTCAGCAAGACCAGACGGACTAACTCCAGAGGTATACAAGGATGGTGGTAGAGTGCTCTTAGTCAGGTTAACTAGCATGCATTAACTAGTATATGGGAATCACATGTGACCCCATCTGACTGTTCTGAATCACTGGTTATCCCAGTCTTCAAGAAAGGCAAGAAGTCCTCTTGTGATAACCACAGAGGAATCAGCCTGACGAACATAGTACCTAAAATTCTATAGGTTCTAAAATTCGTCGACGCCTGAGTGGAGCTCAGGAACAGCAAGACCGAGAAAACCAGACAGGCAAGCATTAGACTCGGTCGTGAGTGTAACGACCAAATATTCACATTGCGCCAGGTCCTGGAATATAGACACGCTTACCGATGCCCGACACTGGCTGTATTTCTCGACTTGAAGGCGGCACTCCACTCTGTTGATCGACAAGTCTTATGGCAATATCTCTCACTGAAAGGCGTACCAAGTACGTACATCACCTTATTGAAGGCTCTCTACTCGAACACTTGTGGGCGTGTTAGATAGAGCCTGTGGTGAGATGTCCAGAGACTTATGCTCATCCAGTGGTATCCGTCAAGGCTCTCCGCTGTCTCCATTCATATTCAATTTTATCATAGATATTCTTATGGGGGTCTCGCTCTCGTCGCCTGATTGCACAGACGTTGACCTAATCGGTGGAGAATTCTCGTTAGACCTAGAATATGCAGATGATATAGTCCTGTTAGGTGAAAACACTGACTGATGAGATGCAGAGTCTTCTGAACACTGAGTGGTAATTTGAGAATGTTTGAGATGTAGTTCTCATCATAGAAATGCAAATTGTTGCTCCAGGATTGGTCTTCAACGGTGCTTCACTGCGACTAACAATAGAGAGTGTAGTGGTTGAGTGTGTCGACCACTTCACTTACCTGGGAAGTAGGATCAGCCCTGCCCTGGTGGCTCAGTTGCTGATGAAATCTCTGCACGGATGCAAAAGGCTCGATTGGCTTTCGCCAGGGTCGCAGAGCAGTCCCTTCTGTTCTACTCTATGACTGTGAACATGGCCATTGAAGGTGGAAGACATGAGAAGGCTGGCTGCAGATGTTTGGTCACCGTTGCCTTCGTAGTATAGGTCGTATTCCATGGTGTCATCACATGAGTAATGCAAAGTCAGGTGTAGAGTTCTATGGAGAAGAGGTAGGTCAGTTGACGAGGTTGTGAACCTTCATGGATTGAGATTGCTAACTGGAACATGTGTTACGTGTGCCTAGTCACACAATGTTGGCCGAAGTAGGTTCAGACTGGAAAAAGGTCCGAGGCGGACAGACTAAAACATGGCACCGATGTATGAAGTCTCTGACTGTTGGTTTGAGCCATGTGGGGCGATGCAGACTGGTCGGTTGGGGTCCGCAGGACAATAAGAATCAGTGGTTGGAGACTCTAGGTGGTATGGCTGAGAACCGATGTCAGTGGCGCAGATGTATACATACATTATCCTCATCTTAACATTATATCTAATCTCACCATTTTCTCATTCTTCTTTTCTCTCTATTCATACTTTATATTTCTTTTGACTGAATTTTCTTATCTTCATCTTGCCCCTGGCTGCCTTTTTACTTGATATGGTGGTACGAGGTGTGGCAAACTCGGACCGTTACGCAGTAATGCCTGGTCGTATGTTGATCTGGATGGATAATGGACTTCGTTGTTGTGCATCTAATTTGGCTTATCCCTATTATGTCAGTTCATGGACATAAAAGTGTGTCAAATCGAAATCGAAATGTCCTCAGCAAGCTTGTGAACATTCAAGCAGTAGGCAAGGAGTCACACCTATTTTATAAAGGCTAATGATACTACCTGGCTGCTCAAACCTCGGTCTATGGGGAGGGGCTCGAACCCGTTTCATATTGGCTGGATGCTATCTCCTTAAACAAATGAGCCACAGCTCCACTACGAAAAATTAAGTCCTACCAGAAATCATTGATATCTTTTAGTTCACCAACCAATCATCATATCAACCATGTGATATAGTCTGTTTGAATTTCTGTGTTACAACTTCAATAATTTTTCACCATGAAATTATATGACTGCGAAATTTAACTTAAATATCGTCAAACCTTAAATGGTGAGAAAAACATATTAGAGAATTCAAAGTGAAGAATGAATTAAGTTTTTTCTGCAAAGAAAAAACTACATTATGATTGCTTGAAGTTGTTGATTTGGGTTGTGCGAATGAAGACGACAAATTAACTGATCTTTCCTACGGTATATAATAAAATACTGTGTTACAGACAAATATCCTTACGTGATCGTAATTGGTGGGATGTTTACTGCATGCAAGATAAAAGAGACGAGGATATACATCTGTACCAATAACAACACCAGCCATCTGAGCACAAGTGACATGAAATCGAGCAGAACAACCATCATACCAACATGGAGCTAGTGGAAGGAATCCCCTTCCGGGCAACCGACAAACAACACATTTAGAACGAATGGGAGAAGCATTATTCTCAATGGATTTTACAGCCATATTTTTTTTCAGATAATGATCATCAGAAATATTGTTCCAGTTGAGTAATTTTAAACCTCTGAAATTGAAATAAGTCAAAATGTCTGCATTACAACATAACTTCAATGATAAATGATTAGAGAAACAAGAAGAGAAAACGATAAAAGCGGTGAAAAGTCGTGTCTAGTATTTAGGTTAGCAAGTGCACATTCTAGTTACTTGGATATCATTAATTCTAACTGTAAGTATACAAGATGATTGTAAGGATTAAAAGCAGAGGTGGCTTATTAGGTTGAGCACTTGACTTCCGATCAAATGGTGCAGAGTTATAACCCTACTCCAGCTAATTTCGCCTGCTCAGCGGAATAGTATCACAAACCCTCACTCAGTATGTGAGGCTCGCAACAGAGTACATAAAACCCGCATCACGTTTAGTTTCATTGACACATAGGAACTAAAAGGTGGTGTGCGATTAACAGCTTAGGTCATGATTTGTTTATTGAAGTAATAATAAGAACAATAATACAGTTTGGCTAATCCGTGCAGGTCCGGGCAACAAGTTATGAATCTCAGCTGATTTATGAAGGCCTGTGATACTACCCGATCAATGATATGGTATGAGTTTAAATTTGTAACTCCATGTTTGGTAAAGAAATCCCTAAGCTACTAAGCCGCAGTTCAATGCACTTCACATTTCATTTAACAAGTTATGCACAGAAAACAAGGATATGTCGTATCACATAATACAGACATTGAAAAAGCACGAATTGCTTTTACATCTCCAATAACTTATAAACTCATTATTTTTGGTCACTTGATCTTCCCTGGTAAGTGTATTGACTTAATACGGTTTCCTCTTAGCCTGTATACGAAAGTGATAACAGTTTAAGTGGACTGGTATTTGCTAGTCTGTAAAAGGTTTTTGTTTACTGCAGTCGCCACTTATATATATCTTTACTAGTGACTTGATATACCTGTCGAATTCCCTCGTCGCCTTCATCATCATCGTCTTCGTCATAATCATCTTGACTAGAAGCAGGACTCAGGTTTGAGAGACTGTGGATGAAATTTCCAGCATGGACAGGATTTTTTAAGATCTATTGTACTGTTCACATCGCCAACATCAGATAGTTTTGAGCTCATCATTTTAAACGACCAAGGGTGATAGACAGAGATAGCTACACACGTAGTATGGTCTGACAAACCACCATCTTCTACCATTTCAGGACCGTAGGGCAGATGATACTCAGATGGGTTTAAATTTCTACTGAACGACAATTTAGGTGGCATATAGTTAACAGAGGGGCCACTTCGCAACTGTGGTGCAATACATTGAACTGGTGGAAACTGTTGGTCGAAGTGTGGATGTTGGTTGTAATACAAAGAAATTGGCACTTTTAGCATCCAAAATACCTTGTTGAATCACATGAGGGTGGTAGTATTTACTAGCATCAGATAGCCCGTCACCTCTTAATTAATGTGGTACACCGGTTGCGGATCGAGAATGATTTAAGAGGCCTTCTTTGGCAGATGGAGAATACGGTTGACACGTTGTAGACAGTCACATGAGGTAGTTCTTTTGTTAGGATCATATGCCAGCATAAGCTCCAGAAAACTGGTTAAGAACTACTTCGTTTGGTGGTCACTTATACTTCAAAGTTAGTAGATTAAATAAACTCCACAGTATCAAGCGACGTATATGACGTAAACAAGCTCGTTTTTCAAAATATTCACGGGAATACTTCCTGGTAACTCCTCATGATTTCTGATGCTCTCTCAATATATACCACTTAAGTTCATCCTGATCAGCAGCGCCCGCTACACTTGTTCCCCGTCAAAATTTAGGGTTTGCAGCCATGTTGATCGTTCTGGTGCTGTTTTTTGTTGGTGTTCATGCAATGTTTCTTCTTTCCACCGTCCACATTTTTAAAGTATGCTGGCGTTTAGACGTTTCTCTTTGCCCCTTTTTTGATGGTGTAAACTGAACCGCGTCTCTCGGTAACCATGTATGGTCCTTCCCACTTCGAGAGCAGTTTTCGACCATATTCACCTTCTGAAGTATATCCTCGGTACCTACATTTCACTTGATCTCCGACCTTAAACGGTTTCCATTTACTCCCTTCTCTCTGCTCAGATTTTTCAGCATCAGCTTTCTGTTCCACATTCTTGATTGCCTGTTTCCGCTCCTTTCTCAATCTTGTCATGTTCCACGACTGTTGTTGGGGCCAGGTCTTACTATGTATTGGGAGCCGTGGTTTCCTGCCATACAATAACTGGAACGATGACTCCTCGGTTGTTCTTCATACCGAGGCATGGTGCGCTAATAATATTAACAGCAGTTGCGTCTCCCAATTCACTCCTTTAGAAGCCAGCCACTCCTTAAGTGTACCGTTATTCCGTTCTATCAAACCGTTAGCCTGCTGGTAGAACGGCGTTGTTCTTATCCTCTTGATATCAAGCTGCTCCAAACAGGATTGGAGTTCGTCACTCTCAAAACAAGGACGTTAGTCGGTCAATATCATCTTCGGCACACCGTGATCCGCGACAATACGTCGCATCATCACCGCGGTCAGTCTTCGCTCGTTGATCAAGAATCACAACAGCGTCCACCCACCGTGTAGCATGCTCCGTCATAACCAACAGGTATTGGTTGCCACTAGATGTCTGCGGAAATGGTCCTATTACGTCCACAGACCACAGATCACCAATTGCTACTACCGGAATCGACTGAAGCGGTGGTTGTACATACAGATAACCATTCATCAACTGACAATGTGAACAACCCAGCACATGTTTGGCAACATCTCTGATGAACGGTCAGTATGCACTTTGTCTGAGAAGGTCAGCTGTCCGCAAGATAGCTGTATGAGCTAACTGGTGAGATTCTTGTATCCTTTTGTCACGTAGACATTTCAGAATCACTGCCAACCAGCTCCCGTTGTTTTCTCGCCAAGTCAGCATTCCACAAGTATTCACCCGTAGGCGTTCTTTCTGCGCCAACAACGTTCTTAACTCTTTATTTCCCACAGACTTGTCTGTATCCGTCCCTTCAGCTACGGTTTCTATCACTTCTTTAAGCGTAAGGTCCGACTTTTGGAAGTGAATAGGTCTTAATGGGTCCCGTTCTACTGCATTTACAGCGTATGCAATCCCAGGCAGTTCATTTTCTTCGTCTGATCTTGATAAGAAGTCTGCCAACCAGTTCTATTTCCATGCAACGTGACCGATTGTGAAATCGTACTCTTGCAGTCATAACATCTAACGTGATAACGTTCCTTTAGGGTCTCTCGCCGTCTTTAGCCACTGGAAAGGTTTGTTATCAGTTTCAACATAGAATCGTTGACCGAGGAGGTGCGATCTCCATTTATCCCGCGCCCAAACTATCGCCAGATATTCCTTGGAGTATTTCTGTACTGCAGATTGTCAAAACACGGCTGGCATACTCCACTACACTACTCCTTTAGTCTGTCTCAGAACTGCGCCTATTCCATAAGCCCTCGCATCGGTGGACACAATGAATGACTCACCGGATAGTGGTAGCTTTAAAGTCATCTCCTGCTCATTTAGGAGTTCCTTGATGTGACCAAACGTTTTCTGTCCCTCCCATATCCCGTAAGTTTGAGGTTACCAAATAGCTTATATAAATGTGTTGCTACCTCATTGAAATTTTCGAGGAACCGACTATAAAATGCTTCTCCACTTAAGAACTGTCGCAGTTTCCTCTTCGAATTCGGCACTCAAATGGTCTCAACCGTCAGAATTTTCCCAGGTAATGGTTTTAGTCCACCGTTTCCAACTTTATGTCCTAGTAATGTAACACTCTTCTTGGCTACCTGATATTTTGCCTTATTGGTACGAAGTCCAGACTCGCCAATGCTCCTTAAAACAGCTTCCAGATGTTCTAGATGCTCTGCTTCCGTCCGACTGTACACCTCTATGTTTCGTACATCCTTCAGCAACAACATCATCAACCGTCCAAATGTAAATGGCGTGCCTATCAGAGCAAATGGCATTCGCTTGAATTAGTATTGCTTCTTGCCCACAATACGTGCTGTTTTCACTTTATCGCCTTCTTTTGTTGGTAGCTGCCAGTAGCCTGAGCGGAGGTCCGGAACTGTAAATACTTTTGCATTCTGCAAACGCCCCAATGTTTCAGCTACCGTAGACATGAGACACGGCTTTAGTTGCGTTATGCTACCTAACTCTCGGAAATCAACGCAGAATCTATATTTCCCATTGGATTTTCTTACTAAAAGTACTGGTGAACTGTATGGGCTATCAGCCTCTCTAAGAATGTCTTTATTCAGCATTTCTTGAGCCTGGCACCCAACTTCTTCCAGATGACATGGTATTTACCGTGTTAAAAGTGTTGTCATTGCTTCTCTTGTCACTGGTATTTCATGCTGAACCTTGTCACAGTATTCGTAGTGGTGTCCATCTCCCGTGAACAATCTGTCGTATTTCTTAATCAACTTCATGATGTTTGGTGCTTCTGGGTGTGATACTTTCGATACCTCACCTTAATCTCTGGTACCTAGCTGTTTCCTCGCGTGATGAATGACCCGTACTTTGTCGCCACTATTCCTGTTCTCATGCTAACAACTGTATCCATTTCTCTCAAGAAATAAGCAAATAGGATTGTCCGTTGTAGACACGTGCTTACAATGAATGGAAATCTAATTCTCCGACTTTCGATCTCAACGACACAATCTGATAAGCCTGCGAGTTCTAATACATGTCCGTCAACCGTGTGGACACCAACCGTTAGCGCACATGGTCTTAAGTTCTGAGACTGACTCTTATCTGTCAATGAGACTGCTGCCCTCGTATCTATTACACACACGATATCCTGATCATTTATTCGCATTCTAGCTTACACAACACCTATCTATGGTTCTTACAACATCTAATCTAATCGAAAAAACAGAACCCATATTATATCGTTCAAAACGTTTTCTTTTTCGCCTCTTCGGACAGTCTTTTCGCCAGTGTCCCAGTTTTCCGTATCCAAAACATTTACTCTGTCTTTCGATATTCATTCAAAGTGCAGCCACCTCCTTCCGAAGGTTATCGACTTGTTTTCTCTAGCTATATCCATCAAGCGATGCTCATGTTGCTGCGACTCCAATTCTTTTAGTTCATCAAGCTCCTGTTTCAACAGAGCTTGTTGTTTCCGCTGCTGTTTTCGCAACCGGAGTTTTTGGCTTTTAGTCATCCTTATGTTATCTTGTTTCTCCTTTAGTGCAATGCTTACTACAGAACCAGACTGTTGTACACCTCATCTCTGAGCATCCACAGCCTCTACCGCCACTCTGCAAATTTGTGAATCAGAGACACAAACCAAAATATTTTCTGGTTTGATGTTCGTGTGGATAAAATGGCACTTTATATGCAAATAATGAAGTCCTTATAGTGTCTGTTTGACAATAGAACGAACATTTTCAAGTGGAATGTCGCATCATTGAGATCTCATATTCAATTTCAGTAGGTTATGTCCTAGAACCTCGAAAACCATATAGGCATGGTTTTCATTTACACCTGAAGTCATCCAGTAGATGAACTATTTTATTTAGAAAAGAAGCACCAGCAGCAGACTCACGTACACACGAGAGCAGTTTCATCTCATCAAGATCTGTTTCTGCATAATGAAGTGCACGTTCTACCTCTTTCATTGCCATGAAAAGTTTTGAACATAAGTCCCAGCACAGTCACACAGTTGAAAATCCCGAGAATCTTGTTCATCATCATCATCATCATCATCACTGCCCAAAATCTCTTCGTCTTCTAGGACTTTTTCATCTCGAGAAGATAAAAAAAACTTCATAGTGAAGTTAATGCTGATGTCGTCTAGAAAGACGATGAAGGCTTCACGATTGAACAACCCAACTCAGAAAACACAATACAACCAAGACTATCCACCTGAGCTACAAATATTCTCCAGATAAAAAAGTGGCAACTGAAGATAGAGCAGTTACGATGGATAAAAAATGACAACTCTTTATAATGAAGGGTTTCAAGCTTTTTTGCAACGTTATAGTTAAAGAATGAAAGCCGCATCACTGAGGATTATTGTGAAATTCAAGCAAATGCTTGATGAGATCTAGCAGAATCTACGTCTATAAGCCCTCAGATTAAAAAAAAGACTTTTCGTAAACACTTCAACACTGGTCACAGTGAGGCTAAAAATGAGTTCAAAAAGCCTGATAATATGAATCATATTACGTTAATGGATGAAAACGATATTAATCCCTCCACTACGCACCATGAAAAAGTAAATGATGCAGACATTCAGTCAAATCATGTTGATGAAAACCATGAAGTACTTATCAAGTTTGCAAAATGATGTAACATGTTTAGTGACATCCAAGCTTTCTATATAACGAATGTCCACAAGCAGTTCTCAAGGAAGGACGGTGAAACAACTACACAGATACTCAGAGGGATTCAATGCCCCTGCACAC